CTTAAGAACTGCCGGGAAAAATGATGAACTAAACAATTCCATCTTCCCAACCTCGTCTATGATGAATAGATCTGTATCTTTTTCAACCTGCCAGATACACCATTTCTTCAGAAGTTATGTTAAGGCCATAAATCCGTAACCTCGAAGGAGAACGCTTTCCTGTTTTTATTTATTTATTTAGATAAACACGATGGAGAACACTGTCTTTTCATCCTAGACAGAGATCATTGCTTTAGCCATTCAAAATAGAGTTCTTCCAAATCTTTTCAAAAGTCAAGTGTGAGTTCTTCATCTGTGCAGATTCTAAGTTCCTAATAACCCATGTTACCTGCAATTCTGGTAATGCCAATGACTCAAATGATGCTATATCAACTTTATACCTCCCAACAGTGGGCCATCTTAAAGACTCTGAGCTGCAATGGATATCAATATAGTTACAGGAAACATAAACATAAACATGCTCAGGGCACAAACAAATTTGAGCGTATGAACTTTCTGTTAAAGTTCATTAATTTTGAAGACTACAAACACACATCCATAGATGTTACTCTAAAATATGGATTTCAAAAGGTCATAAAACTACATATGGAGATTTCTATAGGCTTGGACACTTTTAGAACTCAAGGACTCTTCCAAGTAAGGTTGCAGCAATGCAACCACTCATATATTACGAAAAATGATAGCACATACACTGTCAGGACAGAGAATGTTAAGAATATATGAAAAATGATGAACAGTTTACAGTGACAAGTCGTAAGTCGCCATAGTTGAAGAACAAGGCCTCACGGCATAGAACATGTTCATCCTAGAACTTCAAACCTATACCATGCTAGAACTCCAAATTTAGTTCACATTGCATTGGAGTTTAGATGAGAAACGGAGCAAAGGAGAATCACAAGCCATTGCATTACAAATTAAGCAAATAATCCATAAATTCCCACAGAATTGGAAGAAAATGAAGAATCAGAGCATCAAGTATGGAGCCTAATGAACCAGCGGAAATGAGAGAATGAGATAATAAGAGAGAGAGAGAGAGAGAGAGAGGTGAGCACCTGGACACAGAGGTCGAAGCAAGGGGAGATGTTCGGCCATCTAAGGTAACGACTTCAAAGCCGCCACGCTGGCTTCCTTGCCTGACTTCTCCTGTGACAACGGAACATCCATAGCAAAATCGATCGCAGAGAAACAAAAAGAGGAAGAAATCTACTTCTTACGAGTATAGAAGCCTTTGATCTTCAAGTTAGGGTTAGAGGCTTTAAGCATCTCAAATACCCTGGCGATCAGAGTGGTTTTGCCCACAGCCTACACCCAAACAAAACATGATCACATTTCTTTTCATTCAAATGTATTCATCCAAATCCATTTTACGATCTACGGCGGAGCAAAGGCTTACCGGAGGCCCCGTAACCAGCAAGCACCGCCCTGGCCCTCCCATCTCTCTGTTCTTCCACGCTTTTGAAATTGCTACCACTAGATCACATTAATCTCTCTCACGATTGGTTTATTTAAATCAATTTCAGTCCCTTTTTCAAATACTAATGATTTTTTTAATATAAAAAAAATGTTATTTAGAGCAATAATTTATCCATTTTAACCGTTACTCTGTCTCTATTCGATATTGTCCATTTTAGCTCATTAGGTATAATTCGTCAAATAGAGAGAGTTTTCACACTCTTAAGTTACCCGACCCCCCATTTTAGCTCATTAGGTCTAATTTGTCAAATAGAGAGAGTTTTCACACTCTTAAGTTACCCGACCCCCGAGATATTGTCTACCATTTTAACTCATTAGGTATAATTCGTCAAATAGGGACAGGACCTTATATCTATATAGGATTAGTTATCACGCATACTCTATTATCTTTTAAATATTTTATCATAAATGACTGAAACTTGCAAATACACGTGTTAAAAGAACGTAAAGGACCTTATATCTATATAGGATTAGTTATCACGCATACTCTATTATCTTTTAAATATTTTATCATAAATGACTGAAACTTGCAAATACACGTGTTAAAAGAACGTAAATTGACAAACATATAATATCTAGGAATGTACAAATTCTACAAACGTAATGCAACAAATCAATTATGAACTAACTTAGTGGGATAGCTTTAACATTCATATTACACATTGTTATTTATTAAATCACCCACCAACTACCTATTAATGGTGATTTGTGCAAAGAATCCGACTCTTAAATGCATAGCAACAGAAGAGCACCACGTTTGGTGGCTCTATACCTATAATAAGTTCGTAGTCTGTCTTCCAAGTAATCAAAATGTAAATTGACCAACAACAACACATCATTACACCCATTCTCCAACCTAATTCCATCACTCTCATCTTAACCAATTTAACCAAACTTATTCATCATAACAAAGAATTCGAACCTCAAATTTGTTCACAAATCAACGACTCAGAACACTCAGCTGAACGAACTGTGATCCAACCACAAACAAACTATAATGGAGACCTCACAATTTGAGCCATTTTCAAACTCAGGTGAGAAACCAAAAGAGGAAACGAATGGTCAAAAGCAAGCTTTCAACGTTAAAAACTAAGGGTGAAGTCAACAAACACCATCATTTCATCCTCAAATACCAAGGGAGAATCTAACAAACTTTCAAATAAAAAAGACAACCGACCCAACTAAGCAGATAAGCTCAAGACATGAACTCACGCACTTTCATGGTGAATCGCAAGACGGGTCAACGGGAAGATGGAATCTTCAAAATAAGAAATGGCAGAACGGAAATAAAAAAAAAAAACCAAGATCAGTGAGGACTAATGAACTAAAACTGAATGGTTGTGAATTACTAACAGATTTTCCTTTCAAATACAGAACCATGTCAACTTAAGGAATCTAACATTGAACAGAGCATTCTTTGTTTTGATTTTTTTTTTCTCCCATCTATGCTAACTACCCAAAAAAAGAGAAAAATAAAGTAGCTATTTATCCGAGACATAAGAAAAATCTAAATTGCAGAGTCTTTATGCTCCAAGCTATGAGAAGTTAAATCGCTTATCCTTCAACCACATTCCTCGTCCCATACAGTTACACAGTTACTCATCATCATCCTCCTGCAGATGTCAAAACAAAGGATTATGAGACATGTACGACTATTGGAATTGCATACTTCAAACATAGCTTGTTTACAAACCTCTCCACTCTCATCATCATCTTCTTCGTTGTCATTGACTTCTGATTTGGATTTGTCTGATTCCTCTTCATCAGCTCCATTGCTACCCTCCGCCTAAAGGAATAATTGTAGCGGATGATTAAGATAAACAAGAGCAAGCAAGTACTCTAGACAAAAAGTTGGGGTAAGAGAGTTTACAAGTTTCTTGTTATAGGCCTGCATCGTCTTGTTGTACTCAGTCTTTTTCTTCTCCGCCTTGCTTACGTAAGGCGCTTTCTCCTGAAAAAATCAAACGAGAACGCATCAGGAACATGTAATTTGATGCAATTATCACAGAAGAAAGGGAGTAACAATATCGATTTCCAATAACTTACGGCGTCTGACAATGACCTCCATTTATCACCGCCAGCCTTCCCAACCTGTTCATTTGCCCAAACGAGAACGCGTTTAAAAATATATGAATTACCTGAAAGAAGAGAAATAAAAAAGGACGCAGATCTAAAATCACTTACAGCGGCCACAGATTTGTTGTTAGGATGCTCCTTTTTGTACTGCTTCCTAAACTCCTCCCTTTATATTTATCAACAAAATCGAACTAGTAAAAAATTCGGCAAAAAAGTGACCTCTACTAGACGTTAAAAACACGGATCTCAAAATACATATACAAAATCAGTAAGCTAGAGAGAGAGAAATACATGAAAACGAAAAAAGCACTAGCAGGCCTCTTCGGCTTGTTAGGATCCTTCGCAGCCTTCGCCGATTTCTTACTAGCTCCAGCACTTTTGGTCTTCAACCTAACAAAATTGAAGTAACAAAACACACATAAACCAACCGAAAGCAGAACCAAAGATAAAAATTACGAAAACATACCAAACCGCCTACTCCAAAACACACAACCAAACCAAAAAAACAGATTAAAAAAAAAAAAAAAAAAAAAAAAAAAAAAAAAAAAAAAAAAAAAAAAAAAAAAAAAAAAAAAAAGAGGCCAAAGTTAACAATGAACTCACTTAGAATCGGCCTTTTTAGGAGCCGCCTTCGATTTACCGCCCTTCATGACGAATCCTGCAGAAAAACAAGCGAAAAATAGGTTAAAAAACCGTAGGAGAGACGGACGAAGAAGAAGCTTGCAAGCGGCGGAGAAATTAGGAGTTTACCTGTAAAAATCTAGGGTTTGGGAAGAAGATAAGGAGATTAAGCTTTGTTTGGTTCGTGTTTGGCGTTAGGGATTTGGCTTTACTGTTATGTGGAAAGGCTTTGAAGAGCAAGAGCGGAGAGGGATATGAAGGGGGGAGTCGGTTTCGTTAGAGAGAGAGAGAGAGAGAGAAATCGCGAGATCAATTGAAGTCTGGGTTTAGGCGGGATTTCAAAAATCTTTTGCCACGTCATCGATCCGCGTCCTCGTTTCTCATTGGCTCCTCTCTGCCTCTTCCCTTTTGCTTTCCGCTCTTTTGTGTTTCCTTTGTGTGTTGTTTGCAATTTCTTCGCTGTGAATTGTTCCATCTAAGCAGATCCGGCACGTGAGTTAAAGCCCGTTGTTTTGCTACGAAATGACCGATTTGCCCTCCCTCGTTCCATATCGTCCCTCCCCTAGTTTACAACTTATCAGAATAAACGTGATAAAACGACTAACGCGTCTTGAGGTCATCATTGATCTCACTAGTTGAGGGTATTTTTGTAACTTCAGTTCTTGTTAAGATATTTTATTTCTTCCACTAAAACGCTGCGTTTTGTATCTCAACAACTTGGGCTGGGCCTTGGATTTGAAGACCTTTTGAGAATGCCCATTTTTTTTTTATTACGGAGCCCAATGCCTGGCCCAACTTCTTCCTGAATAACCTTCGTCGTCGCAAGATTTTTGGATTCGTTAATTTACGGTGGCGCCAAAGAGATCCTCCGGAAATGGAAGCGGAAGAAATCGTAGAGCATCGAAACTCGATTGTGGCTCCGTCCATTTTTTTGATCGTCATTGCTTTTCAGTTTCTCGCCGGATGGCTGGATCACCTAAAGAAGGTTCGTCTTTTCCTTGATTTTCTTTTTTCCGTCCGAATCTTTTTCATGTTTGTATAATCTGTCGTTCTTCTTACGTTTCAACCTTAAACTTGTCATTTATAGTTTAATTTTGAGCTGTACCTCAGATTTCGGACTGTAGTGCGTTTCAGTTTTTCGTGGACAAACTTCAGAATGCAATATAGCCAACTGAGCTTCATTAAGTTCACGATATTAGATTGGAGACGTGGCGATTTGATGATTAGTTTAACGACGTGATGGATTCAATCTGGAGATCTATTGATGTTTTCATTCTTAATATCTAAGAATTTGCATTGTTATAGTTGTTGTCCGTCCAATCTTGTCAACGTGTTTGTTTTGACACAATCGTGTTTCAATCATGTATGTAATGTTCAGCGAGGTTCCAACAACCAGGTGGAAATGGAGTTGCGCAAATCAATAAAGCAACTTCTGAGGGAGGCAAGCACCTTATCTCAGTACGTAATTTCTCTAGCTCGGTTCAAGGTTAAAAGTGCATAATTCGGTTCAAATCACTCATCCTGTACGATTGGTTATAATTCTTATGACTATCTTGGGGATCATGTTCACTTGCTTTTTCGTTCGTGTAGACCATCTACATTTGCACAAGCTGCAAAACTTCGGAGATTGGCTGCCGCTAAGGAGAAGGAACTGGCAAATTGTGAGACTAATTAATTGATCCCCAAAATCTCATATCTTCCTTCAATTTACTTTTTCTGTTGTTTTTTTTTTTTTTTTTTTTTTTTACTGGTGCGTTGTTTAAAGAATATTGTGAAATGCTTTATAAAACTTCTTATCCATAACCGGTAGGCAGACAATTTCGTTATTGTAGTTTGGTAAGGTTTGTTATATGAATCATCAATGCACAAGCAGTTCTTGAAGATATTGCTTGAAGTATTGGCTGCTATGTGATATAGTATTCTCAGGATTTGAAGCTTAAGCAACCATTAAGCTATTGACCATTGAAAAGAATGGTTCTCAAATTTAAGAAACCATGGTTTATAGGCTCTAAACTAACAATAACGCGGCTGCTGGTAAATGTGATTGCCACTGCTTCCAATTGAACTGGGTATTTATGGATGCAAATTCATCCGAGACGGTGCCCATGCTGCTAGTCATGATTTCATATTATGGATTATGGTCCTATGAATTTGGTGGAGTCCCTTGAATGACCTCTGATCTGTAGTATTCTTCTGCATGGGTGGGAACCGAAGAAATTTTACGTATTTCATAGCAAGTTGAAAGCAACTTCTCATTGGTAAAATTGGTCTTATTCTGGGAATCATGTTGAACGTAGGCATCAGCCCAAGCAAATTGGAGAATTTGATGTGGTCTATTGTGAAGTATTAAAAGCACTTCGTGATTGAAGTGTTGACATCCAACTAATACAGGCTTTGAGTTTGACATAGATTAACTCATGTCAGTATGTTATGACATGCTTTTTATCCCTCAAATCTAACATCGACCAAAATTGTTCCTGAAATATTGTATGTAGTTGTAGTTTTTGACTGCCATGTTTTCATGTTTGTGTCTCGTTGTGTGTTTATGTATCTATTTTTTTGGTTACATTAATTCCCTTTTTGTTTTCAATAATTTGTTTCAAGTTTTCCAACTAGCGAGAGTATTGTTTCGTGAACTTGTATTTTTCTTTTGTCTAAAATCCAATATCACTCAAAATGCATCTTGAAGACAAATTGTTATAAAAGAACAGTAAAATAGCCATATTTATCAATATAGCATAGCCTTGACTTCTGTTCATTTTATTTCAGTCGTTTTCTCCCATTAATTGCTTCCGATCCCTTCAGTATTACTTAATAAGATGCTTCAGATTACACACCTTAGATTCTATTTGAATGACATTGCTTCCAGATCAAGAATCACGTAGTAAGAAGGTCAAGTCGTCATATGGTTTATATAGTCGAGTACTGCTGATATCAAAGGTTATTATATTATTACTGAATTTTCTAATAAGTGTGTTCATATGTTGGATGTTTTCTTAAGTAAATATCTTGTGGTCGTGTAGGTTTTGATATATATTGTTCTGGTTTGCTGGTTTTGGAGGGCTTCTGTTGCCACTGTGCCCCATCACCTTGTACAGCCATTTGGTAATCACTCTCACCGCCAACAGGATTTCTGAAGAACAATTATTATAGAGAAATGTCATTTCATTTTAAATTTTAACTATTACTTCTTGATACTCTCCCTTCTGCAGGAAGATTTTTATCTTGGAGGGCTGGAGGTATCGTAAATGATTACGTGAAGGTAGAACAATAATCACTTCTCAATTACCTGCAAATAACTCTTACATCTTTGTGCGTTTCTTTTATCCCTTGAGAATAACATACCTGATACCACCACCAACCCCCCCACTTTGGAACAAGATGTTTATATGGTTACCATATCTGGTTTATGAAGGAAATGGTTTTAGGATAGAATTAGTAATGTGATTAGGGTATTAGCTAGAGGAGTTGTTTTGAGGGTTTGTTACAAATAGAGTGAGTGAGAATGGTTAAAGGTAGGCAATCGTTTAGTAGAATTTAGGCTTAAGTTATTATGCTCGAGGGAGGATTTATGCTTAAGTTAGTATGCTCGAGGTTGAACGCTCCAACTACCTCAAATACTTGGGGAGTTATATTGTAATTCCGTTATCTTTTTTCTTTCTATATATCTAGGTTCTATCGGCTAGCCACAATCACGTCTGCACGTAATGAGAATATGAGCATATGATGATTCTTTGCTCGTCTCTAATGATGAACTGCAGGTGGGAATCATACCTTGGTTGATACTATCGACAAGGGTTAGCAAATTTGTATGTCGAGTCGCCAATTAAAAAGTGATTGAAGGTAAAATGTGATGTTGATGATCACATGCTCTGTAAATTATTTGGCAAGCGCGATGTTTTCCTAAATTTCAGTGCAGGGAGGCTGGAGAAGTTTATACAGCCCCCACCACTTTTTCTTTTTATGTTCAAATGAGCTTCATCATTGTCTTTTTTCCCCTTTTTTTCTCTCCCATATATTCCATTCATTCTTTTTTTGGTGGACTCTTGCTCTTAGGTATCGTTTATATGTTTTTTTGTTACTTCATAGAATTATGATATTCGATATATAGCTTGGTTGCATATGCACAGAGTAAGGGGTGATTTGTTTGCATTTGTATCCTTTCGGGATGAAAATATTGAATATGTAAGATCCCGTTTGATAACGATTTTGTTTTTCGTTTCTTATGAGTACTTTTTGTAACTGGTTTTGTTTCTCGGGAAATATTTCTTAGACTAGTTTTAAATTAGGTTAGAATGTGATGATACATTTTCTTGGTATACTAAAAGTTCAAACTTCCTTTACCAAAGTTGGTAATGTCAATATTGTAAACTGCCATAGCAGGACAATGGTTTTTGGTTGTATGAAAATAAAATAATTATGAAATTTCCCTTTATTAACACTTACCAAATTTAAACAACTTTTGAAAATCTCAATCGCTGACCACTTTTGAAATTGTTCTTGGAAAATTAAAAAAAAAAAAAAAAGGAATGCATTAATATATTATTAGAAACTTCCTTCGATCAAAGGAAAAGGCAATACAAACAAAAATGCATGTGCCTATTGATGCCCAATATTCTTCATTTTATCTTGTTATGTATCACATTGAACCTCGATTTTAAAATGTGGGGTGTGAGTCAGTTTTCACACGCTTATAAAAAACTGTTTCATTCTTCTCTCCCAAGTGTGTGGATCTCACAATCCACCTCTTAGGAGTCCAATATATTTACTGAATCGAGAGCTAAACTTATAAGTTAACCATAATTTTGTTGTTGTTTTTTTTTTTTTTTTTTTTTTTTTTTTTTTTTTTTTTTCGTGATTTAATACCAAGAAAAAAAAATTAAAAAAAAAATGATTGAAATATGAGTTAAGTAGCAGAGAAAAAATATAAGAAATTTATTTAAGAAGCGAATGGAAAATAAGTCTTCAAAGTCAAATGGGAAATTCAGAGGAAATGGAAAAAGTTTGAAATTTCTATTAAGTAAATGAACAAGAAAGAAAAATCAACATTTTTCTCCTCTTAATTTCCTTTAATTTTGGGATGTTCATGCTTTTATTTGTTTTTATTTTTCAATAAATAAAATAAAATATAAAATTAGAAATTCCTACTTATATTCCTCTTTTAGTTTTATTATTCCTCCTTGTCAAATTCAAATACAAAAAAAAATTGTACTCATAAATTCTCGTATGCTAAAACATTTATATTTCAAAACCGAACAAAAATGTCATTATCTAATAAGAGGAAAAAAAAAAGTTCAAAATTACGAGCTACCTTCTTTCTCATTCGTACGAAGTTCTTGTGAAACTCATCAAGGTTGAAATTTTTGCATAATAATAAATGAAAGACAAAAACTCTCCAGTTTTATTTTTCTAAATTATAATTTTTTTTGTACAATATAATCATATATTTAAATAATAGAAAAATCTACACGTTCGAAACAACTCAATTTAAATTTACCCGTGCCTAATTCTATTATATTGTACCATGTTAAATATTCATTGTAATTTATTTCCAAATCACCGTCTCATTATAGATAGCTTACTCGAGCACATATAATCATTAAAAATGTAACTTTCTCTAACCATAAGTATCAATATAAAACCACACGGGCACGTAAATTCTAAATTTCTATAACCATAAGTACCAAGTTATAAATTAATTAAAAAAAATTAAATTTGTTTAAAAAAATACCTTTAAACTTTAAAAAATTTCTAAAAACTTAGTGGTATTTTTGAAATTATTTTAAAAGTTTGTTTTTAAATTTAAAAATATAATTAAAATTTTAAAAAGGAAAGTTTGGCGAAGTTGCATAAAATTTAAAAATTAGGAGAGTCAGTCAGTCAAGGTACACAGACAGCTATCTGATGTTTGCTTTGTGTTCATAAATTTTATTTTATTTATTATTTTATGAACTTGTGTCCACAAATTTTCATTGGTGGAATTTGTCGATAATTCTCAATAATTGTTTTCACTTTCAAAGATTGAAACCAGATTTCAACTCACAAAAATTACTTATGAATTGATCGGTAACACTCCCATTCCAACGAGATTCGGGAGAGAAGATTTGGACCCCATAATTTGATGTAGCCGAAATAACAGATTACAAGATCGAAACGAATTTTCTTTTTCACACCCATTGCCTGCGATCAAGGAAGTGGAATTTCCTGTTTTTGATTCCATTGACGCGAAATTTCAAGCTCCATAAATTTAAGAGTGCGCGATCTAATGATAGGCGACGACATTTAGCGCCTTCTCTTTCTCTTTCCCGCTACCTTTTCGCCGATTTTTCTCTGATTTTGTTCTTGAGTTCACTCTCTTCATCTTCTTCTTCTTCGATTTGCTATACGATAATTGCGGAGGTTTTTGTTTCCTTCATTCAACGACTAAATCTGTTGATTATGGGAAATTGTTTAACTTCTTCACCTTGTCATTCTAGTTCCATTCGTAGCCGGACGCTATCTTCTACTCCAGGTGCCATTTTCTAACGATTTTCTGCTTCATTTTCTGTTCTTCGTGTTTCTGCCTTTGATTTGATTGTATCCTGTTGTGCCATTTCTTAGGGACATCGAGCAATTACAGCAGAAACGTAGGGTTTTCAGGTAGTACCAGTAGCACCGCCGGCGTAAGTCAGTTTTCGGAGGCGGCGAGCGTGGATGTGAGTGAGCCCTCTCTGAATGGGCAGATCCTTGACTATTCCAACTTGAAGGAGTTTAGTTTCAGTGAGCTGAAACTCGCTACCAAAAACTTCAGACCTGAATCCTTGCTCGGTCGGGGAGGGTTTGGGAAGGTGTATAAGGGCTGTCTAGATGAGAAAACACTGGCTCCTTGTAAGAGCAAGTATGGAATGATGGTTGCCATTAAGAAATTAAATCCAGAAAGTGTCCAAGGTTTTCAGGAGTGGCAGGTAAAAAATTAAGATCATTCATGGATTTCCCTTTAGAGAAGATTCATCCATTACTGTTTTGAATATTGTTTCGATCCTTCTTGCTTTCTATGCAGCTGCTAGCTATTGATCATGTAGATTGCCATTATTAGTACTTCCTGTTTTCAACAGAACTATGAACCATTTGCAAATCTAGGATTAGCCTAAATACCGCAAAGAATGATTGATGTTCTCTGTTCTTCATTCCATATTCATTGCTTGTTTGACATTTTTTATGTCTGGAAATAATCATGAACGATTAGACGCCTTTATGAAGTACTTGGCGCTCAGGGTTAAGTTATGTTTGTCAAAAAATGGAGCCTCTGTTATGTCGTTATCGGGTCATTCATTACTTGAACTTTCTAGTTGTGAGATCCCACGTCGATTGGGGAGGAAAACGAAGCATTATTTATAAGGTGTGGAAACCTCTCCCGCAGACGTATTTTAAAAGCCTGGAGGGAAGCCAAAAAAGGAAAGTCCAAAGAGAACAATATCTACTCGCGGTGAGCTTTGACTCTTACAAATGGAATAAGAGTCAAACATCGCGATTTGCCAGCGAGGAGCTTGAGCCCCGAAGGGGGTGGCCACGAGAGACGCTGGCCCCAAAGAGGGGTGGATTGGGGGGTCCCACATCGATTGGAGAAATGAACGAATGTCAGCGATGACGCTGGGCTCCAAAAGGAGGTGGATTGTGAGATCCCACATCGGTTGGGAGGATAACGAAGCATTCTTTATAATGGTGTGGAAATCTCTCCCTAGGAGACGTGTTTTAAAAACGTTGAGTGGAAGCCCAAAAGGAAAATCCCAGAACAGACAATATCTACTAACGGTGGGCTTTTTGCTTACCTTGTTTGACACGCTGTTTAAATTAGAAATTTGTACTCTCCCGACATGTATGGTTACGTGTTTCTGCTGTCGGATTTAGATCGTTCTGCAAATGTATCTTTTCAATGAGAGTTCACTTTGCAAGGTCTAATATCGTCTTACTGCTCATATGATATAATGCAGGCAGAAGTGAACTTTTTAGGACGATTGAATCATCCAAATCTTGTCAAATTATTGGGATTTTGTTGGGAGGAGCAAGACTTGCTTCTTGTATATGAATTCTTGCCCAGAGGAAGCTTGGAAAACCATCTCTTTGGAAGTATGATATCCTTAAATGAAGGTTAAGAGATTATCATTCATAGTTATTTGTGCTAATCTTTGGTTTCTGTGATGATCAGGGCGTTCTTCCATTGATCCTCTTTCTTGGGAAATAAGGATCAAGATCGCAATTGGAGCAGCTAAGGGTTTGGCTTTCTTGCATGCCTCTGAAAGAGAAGTTATATACAGAGATTTTAAAGCGTCAAATATACTTCTAGATATGGTTTGTCCCATTCTTTGCAGTCTTCTTTGAGCTAATTGCAATATTTATAGAATGTCTCTGCTTCTCGGTTCGATTCAGTAAAAAGGTTCATAATGAGCTGAGACTGGAATTAACGGGTCATTTTGCATTATCTAATTGTGAGAGCCCACATCGGTTGGAGAGTGGAATGAAACACTCTTATAAGGGTGTGGAAACCTCTCCATACTAGACGCGTTTTGAAACCATGAGGCTGACGGCGATACGTAATGGGCCAAAGCGGACAATATTTGTTAGTGGTGGGTTTAGACGGTTAGAAATTGTATTAGAGCTATACACCAGGCGGTGTGCTAGTGATAACACTGGACCCTAAACCCTAAGGGGGTGGATTGTGAGATCTCACATGTAACACCTCAAGTCCACAGCTAGCAGATATTGTCCTCTTTGGGTTTTCCTTTCGAGCTTTCCCCTCAAGGTTTTTTAAAAAGCTTCTGCTGTGGACAGGCTTTTTGTTCCCCTCTCCAACCAATGTGGGATCTCACAATCAACCTCCCTTTCGAGACCCAGCGTCCTTGCTGGCACTTATTCCTCTCTCCAATCAATGTGGCATCTCACACCGCTTGGAGAGTGGAACAAAACACTCCTTAGAAGGGTGTGGAAACCGTTCCATAGTAGATGCATTTTAAAACAGTAAGGTTGATGACGATATACGGGCCAAAACGAACAATATCTATTAGCAGTGGGCTTGGATAACAAATGTTACATCTTTTCTGCCCATTGTCATAACTCTTTTGGAAAGTACTGAGATATGTTCATC